CAACCCACCCACCCCTCACAGAAGAAAATTGGGAAAAAAAATTGGCTGCTTAATGCAAGACTTGTCCATACACCACTTTCTCTACATTAAAACTACAAAGTTCTATCTCACATCTCTGGCCGTTTCGAGTTACTAAAACCATGAAGTCAGAAACCAAATTTCCGTCGGAAGTCGTCAGATTATTTGGAGTCGTTATCCCGATATTCAAAGAAATGCTTCCGAAAAAGCAGGACGGGACAAGCTACGAAACTCAACGTTTTTTACATCCCATTTCTCAAAGCTAAGAAATGACCTGATAGAACTTTGTAATTCTCTGGCGGTGCTTTGGAAAGTGGCGTATGATAACGGATTCTTCCACCGAGCAGTCGAAATGACCACAGTTGTACATGTCATTCAACAATATCTGGAAGATGCACAGGTGTGTAGCATGATACATGAGAGGAGGGGGTGGGAAAAAAAAGAAGTGCTCATTTCCAAGCTGCAGAATACTGTCATTCCAAAGTCATCAACAGAAGCCATGTAGGTAGGTAGGTCGGAGCAAGGACTGGCATGCCGTAGAGAAAGAGAGAGAGAGAAAGAGAGAGAGAGAGAGAGATATTTCAGCTGGCCATGCTGCACAAGACTATATTATCCATCAGCAAGCCGGCAAGTGAACAACCAATCAAAAACACTTCATTAATTACAAGACAGTTTTTTAGTAGAGGTTTTACGGCGCTCGCAACTCCATAAGAATTACGAGAAAGACTAAGTCAGCTTCATAGAAGATGGCTTAACACCATTCCAGGGTGATTACAATTTTAAAAAAAAAAAGGATATTATTACAAATATCGGAGAAAAACTAATGTAAACATGGGTTCAGGTCACACACAGCTATTTTGATATTATGATATCTATTTACATAATAACCTCACGTGTATCGTAATATTACGTTCCTTCCAGGCGGCAAGCATAGCCCTAGATAGACACCACTAAATAAACAAAAACGGTACTTTCAACAGAACAGGGCAAAATAAACATTCGAATATTTGGAAAACAAGAACAAAACCGGGGCACTAAAAAATAGAAAGCTTAGTAAATGACAGCATTCCAAACTGCACCGAACTAGCATAATTAATTATATCATCTGAGAAAAAAAACAACCCCAAAACCCAACCCAAAAACAAACTCCAAATCAAAACTTGGGGAACGTGCATGCACACTGTTACAGTACCATTATTTGTTTGTTTTAGTAGAGGTTTTATGGCGCTCGCAACTGCATAAGGTCATCATATGAGCGCCAGAAGATTAGAGGTGTTACAAGAGAGTAACAAACATAAAAGAAGAAGGAGGGGAGATAAAGAATATAGATGTTTGATAGGAAAGAAGGAGCAAACCACACCAGAGCACCCGACAACAACCCACACACTATAGGTATGACTAGTAGAAGTTCAAAAATGAATATGAAAAGTTTTTTCTATGAGGTGGCAAGAGTTCAAAGCCCAGGCATCTTTTAGTGTGGGGGGAATGAAGGAGCAAACCACACCAGAGCACCCGACAACCACCCAGTAAGATTTTTACAGCACTTGCAACACATCAGGTGACACAGGTCTCTTTTTTCTGCAAATTTCACACGCTGTCAAGGGTTAGACAGTGGTAACCACAGCACACAACCATTGCACAGTTTGTGTTTGTGTTTCCAGGTGATAAAAAAATGATGCATTTGATGTGAATGTACATTTTGTCAGCTTTTCTTTTCATATTGAATTTTAATGAGAGTAAAATATATAATTTAAACTTGTTATGTATACCTGCAGGTGTTTTTACGGTCCTGTATTTCCTCTGGGATAATAAAGCACTATCTTATCTTATCTTATCTTAATTTTGGTGATTTTTCTTCTTCTCGGTTGGCAATCAGTTTGACTGAGGTGTTATGTTACATCACCCTCACGTCATTTCTCACATGCACACATTAAAAAGAAAGCACAAAAGCAAAGTAAATATGCGAGAAAAAAAAAATCAAACAAATTTTGAGTGGGTACAGCACAGCATCTCAGAAAAAATCAGGCACAAAATGCAATGTCAACAAAAAATCAAACACACAAAAAAAAAAAAAATCTCAGGCGGATGCTTTGCTCATTAATATTCACGATGCTTGGGTTGCATTACATTACGTCTTTCTTCGGTGACCTCCTCTCTGGCACCGTCTTCCTAAGGCTATCATCCTCCTCCTCTTCTTCTTCGTCACCAAAGGGATTAAGAGTTTTGCAATAGCCGGCTCCAGTTTTATCCACTTCTTCGCCGCCGAGTGACAACCGCTTCTGTGTCTGCGGGCTGTTCGAGACCACAATGGAACAGTGACAGACAGCTTAGGGTGGGGGGTGGGGGTGACGTTGGTTAGGGCGAGGTGAAGTCGCTGCAAAACATACCGGACGGCTCGTGCAAAATATAGATGGGGGAAAGGGGAGTGTCCTTGCCAAATAGTCAGCTACTTTTCGAACAATAGTCAGCTCTTTTGGAACAAATCACCCGACAGGTCAGAGCCATAGTCATATCATCATTTTAGTTTTAGTAGAGGTTTTACAGCGCTTGCAACTGCATAAGGTCATATGAGCGCCAGGGTGCTACAATAGAGAGAAACAAACAGAAAAAAAGAAGAAGAGGAGATAAGGACGATACATGTTTGATAAGAAAGAAGAAACTAACCACGTCAGAGCACCCACCAACTACCCACGTATCATCATTATATCAGTTGTAGGCACAACCCCATAAATTTTACACCTTGAAGTTCGTTGTTTTTGTAAGTTTTAAGGCACTTGCAACACAAAGGGGTCACATAAGTGCCGAAGAATAGAGACGTTGCGAGAGAGTAACAAAACCGCTAACCTTTTAAGCAAACCACATCAGAGCACCCACCAATCACCCGCTTGCCTTACATAGTTGCCACTCAGGAATTTCAAAAAAGGAGGAAATTCATGCGAAGGCGGACGCTCGCTCTCCGAAGGCCGGAGTAAAACCCAGTGAGATCCAGAGGCAATATATACTGGAAAAATCTAGCCTATGGTTTTGGAAGGGAAAACTGTCATATTTGTTAACCATAGGCAACTGAATTAAAATGTATTTGAATTTTTAAAAAAATACTTTAAAAAACCCAACAAAGGCACTTAGTAGACTAACAAGCATATTTGAGTCAATTGAAGAGTATATCTCCCCCCCCCCCCTCCCCCCACAGTTATACATCAACAGCAGAACAAATGAAATTATTTATACATGTATACGTAAATCCCACAGCAGTGATGTCCTGAAAAGTTGAAGTGTTCATAAAAATGCTTGAAAGCTAGATTGGATGGACAAATCTACCCTGAAATAACAACACAGAAAGAACTCTCTCTCTCTGTCTCTCTCTCCCTCCCTCCCCCACCTCTCTCTCTCTCTAGTATAGTATAGTATAGTATAAGGTTTTACGGCGCTCACAACTGCTAAGGTCTCTCTCTCTCTCTCTCCATGAGAGGTTTCTATGACTTCGTTGTTGAAAGCACCAGCAGATTAAATTGTAAAAACGAATGAGCTGTATGTCAAAAGGTATTCTTCCATGCATGGTATAAAAACTCTCTCTTTCCATGAGAGGTTTCTATGACTTCGTTTTGAAAGCACCAACAGAGAAAATTAGAAATGATAAAAATGTATGTGCAGTATGACAAAATATATTCTTCTTCATGCATGGTAAAAACTCTCCACCAGTGACAGGTGGATATTTAATATAAAACCTGGAATATGGAACATTTTTGAGGGAAGGGCACGGGAGAGAGAGAATTTTGGGGGGGAGGGGGAGGGTTGTGAGAGAATTTGAGGGGAGGGGGAGGGTTGTGAGAGAGAATTTGAGGGGAAGGGGGGGGGGGGTGTGTGCGCATCCAGTTGATCACAGTCTGACACGATTGTATGCATGTGTGAAAGAGTGCAGGAGTGTTAGTTTAGTCATGTCTCTGTGTGTGTGAGTGGGTGTGTGTGTGTGTGGTCATCCATGTGAATGCACTTGACTGTGCAACTCAGTGTGTCACTGTGTGTGTGTGTGCTTGTGTGTGTGTATGTGTGCGCACGTGCGTGCGAGAGCAAGAGTGTATGAGTAAGTGTGTGTGTGTGTGTGTGCATGTGTACGCATGTGTTTTGTATTAACGGTGGGAAGCTTAGAAATGGGTACAGTATAGCATTGTGAAGTAAACAAAGACAGACAGATGTGTTTGTGTGTATACGAAAAAGGAAAAAAAAAAATATTCGGAGGAGGCATACGGAGGGAAGGATGAGACCAAAGCACGAGCTGTAAAATGGCGCCGCTGCCTGACGGTCACACACTCACATGATGGAGCGAAGAGTCCATAAACACACAAACTCTTTCGGCTCAGGATTTCCGAAGTCCGTCATGTAAAATCTTGGTGCGAACATAATAAACAGACCACAGATTTCAGTATTTCTCCGCAGTATTTTTTGGCTTTTTTGTTTTGTTTTTAAAAATTTTGTGTTAAAAATTTGAGAAAATAGAAGTACATCAATACAATAAAGGTCATAATGTAGGTCAACGAGGAAAAGAGGCAGAAGGCCAGAAACTACCAGGGGCAAAAAAAAAAAAGAAGTAGAATCAGAATCTACCAATGGCGCCCTGCAACCACCTGTTCAGTCTCTATCAACACTTTCCAAGAACGGTTCCTTCATTAGGTCTCTGTAGTAGTCATTCAGTGGTTATTTGCTTTTGTTTAGTACTTGTTTTCGTGGGCTTTTTTTTTCATTCACCAGTTCTCAGAAGTATTTGTCTTCACAGCACAACAAATACACTAACAGAACAATGTGATAAAGAAGAAAGCAGACTGCTTCATGCCATATTGTCTTAACAAAAGGAGACACACATCAGCACATCCAATGGTCATCCAGTGTTGAGAAAAAAAGAACAATACAAGAGAAATAAACATTATATATATATATATATAGAGAGAGAGAGAGATAGATAGATAGATAGATAGATAGATAAATAAATATATATATATACACAGATAGTAAAGAAGTTTAACTGTCAGCAGCGTCCTTAAACAAATAACACTACTTCTTGCTAAGACCACAGACACCTATCGTAAAGACTGAAGTACAAAAGAACACGTCACTTATACATTTATATAATTATTTGAGTGTACACATAATCAAACACAGTACGAGCGCGCGTGTATGCGGGGTGAACCAGCACCACATACAACACAATACAAGTGACAGAGATAAAAGAATTAGATGACACCAAAATACCAACAACACTCTGGTGTATATATATATATACGAGAGTTTGATTGAGTTTGGCGATGACTGCTTAGTGCAAGACTCCACCATATATGAAGCGTGCAGACAAAATGAGTTACTTCTGCAGACAAAATGAGTTACTTCTCCGATTCGAGCCCTATGGAAATAGATATATCAAAGCTTATAGGTGAAGTTCTTAACACTTTGTGGTCACTTGGAGCAATAATGAGAGAAGTCCGTTGCAGTAGCTCTCCTGGCTGGGTAACCAGATGGCGTATTTTGTACAGCTGGCTGTGTGACTGCAAAGTGTTAGTTAACCATTTATATACGTATGAAATAATAAAAGGTAAGTTATACTTAAAGAATATGGCATCAATAAACAAAAAAACAAAAAAATTTGACCCCTGTGTCAATTTTTTGGCCAATAACTCCATTTGTGGATTGTAAGAGGTAACTCATTTTGTTAGCACGCCCTCACACATTATTCTGTCTTTTGGAAAAGTGACGAATGACACAGAGTAGAGTCTTGCACTAAGCAGTCGACGTACATAAAGGCATTGACTACCAGCAATGTCCACCGGGGACAATGCAAGTTACATAATTCACAGATTGATCTGCGATGTAAATTGCATAATAAACAGATTGATCTGTGATGTAAGTTACATAATTCACAAATTGATCTGTAATGTAAGTGACATAATTCACAGATTGATCTGTGATGTAAATGACATAATTCAGACACTAATCTGTGATGTAAATGACATAATTCAGACACTAATCTGTGATGTAAATTACATAATTCAGACACTAATCTGTGTTGTAAATTACATAATTCAGACACTAATCTGTGATGTAAATTACATAATTCAGAGACTAATCTGTGATGTAAATTACATAATTCAGACACTAATCTGTGATGTAAATTACATAATTCACAGGTTGATCTGTGAGGTAAGTTACATAATTCACAGATTGATCTATGATGCAAGTTACATAATTCACAGACTGATCTGTGATGTTCCATCTGAGGCAGAGACAAACTCACAAAAGAAAGGAATATACAGACAGAGACAGGCGTTTAGATGGCAGTCAACAGCAAAGACCACGAGCAGCAGAAATTTCTAGACGAAACTATCATGAAACATGTCAACTCTAAAAGCAAGGGCAAGCACTCTTTCAATAACGATCATAGACGTTAAAGAAAAAATTAAATAACAGCAAGGAATCCATCACAACTACAGAACTCATTCTTACTAGTCAGAAATGGAGAAAAAAAAAGCGGATTGAGAAAAAAACCAAAAAACAATAAAGATAAACCCAACTTAGTAGCAACTAATGGCAATGGGGAAAACACGAGTTTAAAGCCCTTCTCTCAGCTAACTTTTCAAGTCGATTTACGGAAAAAGAAACATCCCTAACCACCAACTTCGTACCATAAAATGTGAGGCAGCGTGGTGGAATCAGGCTCTTGTCAAAATAATCAAAGTGAAGAAACTTGCATGTTTCCGCAGGTTTGTGAATTTTTATCAAATTTTTTATTTTTTGGCTCAACATCTTTCATGCCCATTGAAGAACTCATTTCTGTGTGGATTTTTCTGAAAAACGTTGATTAAAGGCACAAATATTGTAAATTTTCAGTTACCACGGACTCTTGAGCAAAGGAAATAACTAATCTTTGGCGGGCATTTTCTCACTAATTTTACCCCGGAAAACAAGTGACCCTCCACCTCCTTCTTTCGCAAATATTTCGACTTGTATTCAAGATAAATGGATATTTTTTTCCATCCAAATAAAGACAAGTGAACAAGCTTTAAGATGATACCAATAACTCTACATGCTCAAAAATTGACGAGAGCCTGATTCCACCACGCTGCCTCACAAATAACAAATGGGACGTCCAATTCATCCCTTCTCCGCTGTCTTCACTCCCTCAAAACACCCAAACATTTCATATAGGAAAAGTCAATCAGAACATAAAATTGACCGCTTAATGTTAGACGCCTGGTTTAAGTTTAGTTTTTAGTAAGAAGAGTTTTACGGCGCTTGCAACACAATAATAAGGTCATATCAGCACCAGAAGATTTGAGGTGTTACAAGACAGTAACAAACATAAAAAAGAAGGAGGAGAGAATCAGGACGATAGATGTTTGATGGGAAAGAAGGAGCAAACCACAACAGAGCACCCGCCAACCACCCACATAACTAAGAATGGACAGGCCTGAAAAGAAATGAGGCTATCCATTATTTAGGACAAAAATACATATGTTCACCAAGCTCAAAATCTGTTTCCTTCAACTTCAACCCCTACATCTGAAGAAGGTGTATGTAATTCTGAGGTTTCATGGCATACTTTTAGAAGGCGCTGTAGAGGATTGTCTCCGTTAAACCTATCCGTACGTCATGTTTTGCTATCGTATTCATACGACATGGGGAACTCAGTGCCATCACTTTCCAAAGAGGAAATTTACTCGTTAATCCGACCCGTACGCTTTGCAGAGCAGTCTGTCAAAACGATTTTTGGAGAAACACTGAAAGTTTCTAAGAGATCTTCTTCGTACTAGAAGTATTCTAAAATGTGAAGAATACAACACCGGGAGTACAAAATGACCCCAGGGCGTAAGGATAGGGTTAAAAACACATTCACAGCCATGACGTCTGATGAGACTCGGCAAGCCTCAACTAAAAAAAGCAGGACAGCCAGATTACGACTCATAATCATGTTGTTGTTAGCGATCCAGTAGCATCTGAGCGTTAACTCTTCTGCATGATGCCATTCGGTAATAGCTGCATGTCTGTTCTAATTGTTGTTTTGAGGAGTAGAGGCAGTTAGATGTGTGGGGTAGCTTGGGAAGATAACATAATCATCAAGTGCCAGAATTGCAACAGACATCAGCAATCATGGTTTGCATTCATTTTCCGCTAGGATGCTCTAAAAGAAAAAAAACCCTATTATCATTCTGGTCTTTCCCAGTCACCCATCTGTTCAATCTTTCTGGTTGTTATCGATCCAGGTCCAGACTGGACCTACTATGACTCATTATCATCAAGTGCCAGATCTGTGACAGACAACACTGCCGTCATTTTGAAAAGGACAGTATACGCAGTTTTTACGGGAGATACAAAAAAAACAAAAACTTGATATTGTTATCAACAAACACTTGCTTTAACAAAATTGTATTCCTAAAAACATTGATTCGTGATGTTTGCAAAAATTAGTTTTCTTGGTAACAATGTTTTTTTGGCTTGCCTGTAAAATTGTAAAAAAAACTGCATATCCTGTACTTTTAAAAAAAAATGACATCAGAATGGGGACCCTGATTCTTCATTCATTCCTTTACTACTTTGACTAAGCGTGAGGAAAAATACCCGCAGATACCCTCGACCCAGGCAAAGTCACGACCCGTCGACCCCAGCCCCATTCATGACCCCTCGACCCCAGCCACGACGACCCCTGACCCCAAGCTCACCTGTCCACGGCTGAATTAGAGGCGGCCCCGTACGAGTTGTTGGAGGTCTGTGTGTTGTAGTTGGGTTGCTGGTAGGGCTGGTACTGTTGCTGTTGTTGTTGTTGTTGCTGTTGCTGGTTGCTGGTGGGTTCGTTGCTGTAGCTTCCGTAGCTGTCCTCGCGTGAGTGCCGGATGCCCGTGATCATGATGCCGCCGTCCGCCGAGCTCAGGTTGGACTTGCCCCGCTTGGAGATCTGCTGAAGCTCTGGGGAGTACTCCTGATACAAGAGACAAGAGAGAGAGAGAAAGATTTTTAAAAACATTTTTTTTGGTAAGTGTATTACGGCGCTCGCAACTGCATAAAGTCATATGAGTGTGTGGGACTCACCTAGCATTTTCAATTGGTGGGCAATTTTGAATTTTGCCCGGGTGGCGGCTGAAGCCTACTTTATCGATCTTAGACCACCAAGAGATCTTTAATGTGTGCAACGTGCACACGGGACTTCTGAGATTTTTCGTCCTAGTCTGAGAAGGCTAGATGTAGATCTTTCCTACCAGAAGATCAGGGGTGTGTCTGAAAGACAGCAGTACGAAGGAACCAAGGAGTAGCAGTAGAAAGGCTGCAGAAAGGGTCAGGAGCCCAGTGGAGGGGGCAAAGAGGGTGAGGGAGTGGGGGATGAAAGTGGAGAAGAAAGCAGATGACAGAAAACTGCAAAAGAGAAGGAAAGAAGGAGAAAGGAGACAATTTTAAGAGAAGAACATTTTTCGGGAAAGGGCATACTACCCCGGAAGGTAAAGGAAGCTGGTTTCCACTATCAAACTTGAATTTTTTATTTTTTTTTTAAAGTGAGAAGACACGACTACCCTCGAAGGTAAAATGAGAGGCTGGCTAACCATTATATCCGTACATCGTGTTTTACTATCGTATCCATACGACGTGGGGAACTATGTTACGACATGGGGAACTATGTGCCACCACTTTCCAAAGAGGAAATTCACCCGTTAATCCGATCCGCATGCTTTGCATAGTAGTAGTCTGTCAAAATGATTTTTTGAGAAATACTGAAAGTTTCAAAGAGATCGGGGTTTTTTTTAGTAGAGGTTTTACAGCGTTCGCAACTGCAAAAAGTCATATAAGCGCCAGAAGATTAGAGGTGTTACAAGAGAGTAACAAACATAAAAAAGAAGAAGAAGTGATAAGGACAATAGACGTTCGATAGGATCAAAGAGATCTTCGCACTACAAGTATTCTAAAATGTGAAGAATACAACAGCGGGGGGTACAAAATGACCCCAGGGCGTACAGAAAGGGTCACTTACCTCAAATGTGGGCCAGTGCATGGCCATGTCCACTCCGTGGTTGGTGGACCACCACTTGAGGTCTTTGTTGGGGTCCATGTTTCCTATAGTGGCGTGTAGGCTTGTGTAGATCTGGCTATACCTGTGGAGAGGCACAATTTCATACATTGTTCATCAGTCAATCAGTCCACAGGGGAGTACTTCTGAATGCAAGCAAGAGAGAAAGACAGAAAGACAGAGAGACAGAGAGACGGAATTAAATCTCCCTCCATATTTCCTGTGGGATGGACAGGGAGAAGAAAGTTGTTTCCGTTTTAGTAGAGGTTTTACGGCGCTAGCAACTGCATAAGGTCATATGAGTGCCAGAAGATTAGAGGTGTTACAATAGAGTAACAAACATAAAAAAGAAGAAGGGGAGATATGGACGATAGATGTTTGATAGGAAAGAAGAAGCAAACCACACCAGAGCACCCGCCAAACACCCACGCTATACCTGTGGAGAAGCACAGTTTCATACATTGTCCATCAATCAATCAGTCCACAAGGGAGCATTTAGAAAGAAAGAAAGAAGAAATTAAATCTCCCTCCCTATTCCCTTTGGGATGAACAGGGAGATGAAGAAAGAGAGAAAAAAAGATAGAGAAAAGTAAGTCATTCTCCCATCATATTTCCTTTGGGATGTACAGGGAGAAGAATAAAGAGAAAGACAGAAAGAAAGATAGAGGAAAGTATGTCAATCTCCCTTCGTATTTCCTTTGAGTCTTTAGTTTTAGTAGAGGTTTTACAGCGCTCGCAACTGCATAAGGTTATATGAGCGCAAAGGGGTGGATGTCAACAGACAAATCCTTACAGGGAATCGGGCTTACTCTGCTCACCTCTCTAGCTTCAACAGCACAAAGTCTGCTTCGACTATCAAGGCAACCCAGAAATAGCGGGCCACAAGAGTGTGACAAACATACAAAAGGAGTAGAGGAAAAAAAGGTGACAGTAAGGATTAGGAAAGAAAAAACAGCAGCTCCCTGTTGAAGTTCAGGCACAGTTATGAAAGTGACATTGATGAATCAGCCCATTTACAATTAAAATTATACTGTGCATAAGAACATGGTTAACGGGATACTTGATAAAAATTTTCCCTACATAGGAATCAAACTCTTGTCTCCGGCATGCTGCTAGCAGCAAAACACCTAAATGCTACACCACAGATGCCACCAGATGGTCGAAGAAAGAAGCAAATTTCTGTGGTGGGCAGGGTTCTTGCCATGAACTCATCACCACATTCAAGGAGATTTCAAGGGGGTTTGAAGAAAAAATATTAGAAATTCAAGGAAAATTGGTCAAGAAATTCATGCCTTTTTCGATGGTGCGTCAAGAACAATAATACAGGAATGCCCGGCCAGTGAGCGAACTTGCACCCAAAAAAGCCTTATTTCCGATAGGCCTACACTTGCTAGAAAGAAATGGTAGTTTCAATATTCCGACAAAAACTTTGCTCATGTCCGATCTGACGAAATTCAAGGAGTTTTCAAGGAAGTTCCACAAATTCAAGGAGTTTTCAAGGAAGTTCCACAAATTCAAGGAGTTTTCAAGGATATTTGTCCTTGAATGCAAATTCAAGGAGTTTTCAAGGACTCCTTGGATTCAAAGAGGCCGCATGAACCCTGTAATGGGGAAGCACTTACCTCGACTCAACACTCAGATCAAGACAGGAGTGCAGCTGAAATAACGTTTTCTTGAAGAAGTCGATTCTTTTCTGTTCAAAGTCCTGACATCTGCTGTACACCTGGAAGGAATCAAAGAGTTGAGAAACATTAGACTTTGGCCGGATGTAGTAGTAATCTTTATTTCTTATCCTGAATCAGTTGAATAATTTTTACATTTCCAGCAGCAAAAACACTTCTCCTTCCCTTGCGAAATATAACTTTTTTATTAATATCTTGCACGTTCCACTCTTCAGTGTAAGTGTGCACACCCCCCTTTTTAGACTTCATCATCCGTTAGTCCACATCGCCCACCACTCCCTTAAATCCAACTCCTCTCTGCATCCCTTTTCTTCCCTTTCATTTAAAATGGCTTCATAGTTATCAGTAACTTCCTTGCATTGCATCTTGTAGAAGCATCTATTAAGCAGCTGACAATGTATTTAAAAAGTCGACAGTACCTTTTGAAAAAAGTAGAAGGAAGGTGTGAGAGGGCTCATTTCTTCCCTTCCCCGACACCCCCCCAATGCAATGAGTGCCTCTTTGCATGTGCATACTACAACACAACTGGACACTTACAAAAGTTAAATACCCAACTAGGTCATATAAGTGCCGAAGATTAGAGGTGTTTACAAGAGAGTAACAAACTTAAAAAAGAAGGAGGAGAGATAAAAACGACAGTCGTTTGATAGGAAAGAAGGAGCAAACCACATCAGAGCACCCGCGAACCACCCCCTTACCCTTAGTTCAAATCAGGCTCTTAGGCAAGATTTTTATTCGAGAATGGATTCTTGGGCACGAAAATTATCAACAACAAAATTCGATTACAGCGAAAGCAAGCTCTTGGACAGACTCGATACTTACTGGGTGTGGTCTGAGGTGGAGACTGTTGGGCTAAGTAATCTTTTCACTCAAATTCTAAGTCTGAAATCATTTTAGACCGGCCATACCTACCAACTTTCCATAGTGGGAAAACATACCGGTACCTAATGGTGAGCAGTGCAATGATTCCAAAAGAACATTTTCTTTTTCTTAATGGTTCTTTTTGGTTTATCTACTAGTGCGTTCAGTTTCTCAACGATAGGTCCTATAAAGTTTACACAAATGTATAGTTTCCATTAATTAAATCACAGCCCCCATTTGCCTAGCTACTCGTCTATAACAACTGGCGGTGATAAAAGGGGCAGAAACAGAAACAGACAGAGAAAGAAGACTACGACACATCATGGGCCGAGTTTGATTGACCTCTCACCTCAGTCATGTCCTCAATGTACTTTGCGTTGTAACCATTGAGGTCGTTGACCGCGGCATTGTACTTTTCTCGAGTGGCTTCCACCTCCTGCTGGCACTTGCGCAGTTTGTCTTGCAATTTCTTCAACTGCAGAAAAAAATTATATTTTGTTTTAGTAAGTGTTTTACGGCACTTGCAACACAATAAGGTCATATAAGTGTCGAAGATTAGAGGTGCTACAAGATAGTAACAAACACATTAGAATGAGGAGAGGTGAGGACGACAGATGCTTGATAGGAAAGAAGGAGCAAACCACACCAGAGCACCCGCCAACCACCCACAAGGGAGGAAGTGGGAAGTGGCTGTATGTACAGGATACTGTCTTATACAGGTGGTCACCAGATCACGTTCTACTGTATGAAGTTAGTAAAACACATAACAGAAACACGATGGATAGTGAGAAAGACGAAGCATCCACCAGAGCCCTCTTTTGCTACTCAAAACTGCAGAAAAATAACCCAAACATGAAACAAATGGTCTTATAATGGTCACTGCAGATAGAAATTGATGATTCATGAGTATTATTTTATCAATAGCGGGGTCACACCTCCTTCTGGCGGCTACAGAAGAAGCTTTATTAAATATTTCAGAATCCATTCAAAGCTGACTGAAGAAGAAGTAGATATATTTAAATATTTATTATTTCTGAATCCATTCAAGGCTGACTTTTGGACAGTGTGTAAACTATCAATATAACCAATAACTAAGAATAGGCCAGACACCTCCACATCAATACCTAGCTGTGCAAAAAACATCAAAAGGAAGATGTGGAAATTCTTCTTTTATCAATCATAAAAATGATTCCATACGTCAACCCAAGCTGTTCAATATTCTTTTGAGATGGGAGTCGACAGATGTTGCCCAACCAGTAAAAAAAAAAAATAAGCCTCAAAATCAAAAGGCTGGAAAATACACAAAAACCGAGTCAACTGTCTGAACCAAAAAATCACAACTGGTGAAGGTGTGAACATTTTCAAAGGGGGGGGAAAAAGAGCAGTCTTTATTATATTGAATAGCGTGAACGAAAAGCAAATCTGCACCAAGTTCTCATTTTTGTTAGCAAAACCGAAAAGGTCATTGCTCCAGTAAATCCACAAAGGAAACAAGTCTTCTCTTTCACCTAAGGACGAGGGGTGCCAAAAACATTTTTGGGACACATTTTTGGGGCACCTGAATAGACCTAAAGGTCTTGAACATCTAGCTCTCACTGGCAAAATTGAAGGCAAACGAGGCAGGGGTAGGCCCAGAATAACCTACTAAGGGAACCTAAACAAATGAATAACAGGGAAAGACCAGGGAAACGTAGCTTTTTTTGAGAGCATCCGAGCAAAGGAATGAAAGGAGAACCATGATCGCCGATGTCTGTCGCAGATCTGGCACTGGATGATGACGATGAATGACACTGTCGAAGACATCCTCCTGTTTGAGACAACCATTTCTCTCCCTTCGACAACGGATGGCCGTCTTGGGCAATTTCCATTGTAAGTTTCAGTTAAGTTAAACTTTTTACAGCACTCGTAACAGCATACAGTCATATGCACCGATCTAAGGCCTTTTTTTTTCTACACTATTACAACGTTTTTTACTTCAACTGTTTGTGGAATCAAAGAATCCCTCGAAGCCCGATAGCAGGGATGCCACTCAACTTTTTTTAAAATAGCTGAAAATAAACTCCACGCACCACGGTCTCGTTAATATATAAATATCAATTAGCAACCCAAATCTTTTTTTTTTCAACTATAGATTCTATCTCGATCTCAATAACGGAATAGCGGATCAGGATCAAAATACCGGAAATACCGGAAAACAGCGGGAAAAGTGGCATCCCTGCGATAGGTACAAGAGGAAGGATAAAGGATAAAACACGTCAGCACGTCTTGTAAAGGATAAAGAAAGTCAGCACGTCTTGTAAAGGATAAAGAAAGTCAGCACGTCTTGTAAAAGGATAAAGAAAGTCAGCACGTCTTGTAAAAGGATAAAGAAAGTAAGCACATCTTGTAAAGGATAAAGAAAGTAAGCACGTCTTGTAAAGGATAAAGAAAGTAAGCACGTCTTGTAAAGGATAAAGAAAGTAAGCACGTCTTGTAAAAGGATAAAGAAAGTAAGCACGTCTTGTAAAAGGATAAAGAAAGTAAGCACGTCTTGTAAAGGATAAAGAAAGTAAGCACGTCTTGCTGCCTGTACCTGATCCTGAGAGACGGTGGTGTCCCCTCGCGCGTTGTTCTCCTGATTGGCTGTGCTCTTCTCTGTCCTGCAGGCGGAGTGGTATTCTTTCTTGGCCACCATCACCTTAGAGAGACGCTTGCCCCACGGCTTCTGGGCCTGGGAGAGAGCCAGAGGACAAGATGACATAGTTAGACTGGGAGAGAGAGCACACGGTGACATAGTTAGATTGGGAGAGAGAGCACAAGATGACATAGTTAGACTGGGAGAGAGAGCACAAGGTGACATAGTTAGACTGGGAGAGAGAGCACAAGGTGACATAGTTAGACTGGGAGAGAGAGCACAAGGTGACATAGTTAGATTGGGAGAGAGCCAGAGGACAAGATGACATAGATTGGGAGAGAGAGCACAAGATGACATAGATTGGGAGAGAGAGCACAAGGTGACATAGTTAGATTGGGAGAGTGACCTAGAGAGAGACTTCTGTGTGTCAGAGTGTGCATGTGTGTTTGCAAGTGTGCATGTGTGAGTGAGTGTGTGTGTGAGTGTGTGTGTGTGTGTGTGTGTATGGAAGGAGAATGTGTGTGTGTGAGTGTGTGTGTGTGTATGTGTGTATGGAAGGAGAATGTGTGTGTGTGTGTGTGTGTGTGAGTGTGTGTGTGTGTGTGTGTGTGTGTGTGTGTGTGTGTGTGTGTGTGTGTGTGTGTGAGTATGGAGAGAGAATGTGAATGTGCGTTTGTGCGAAAAGAGAATGAGTATGTACGGAGAAAGACTGTGTGTGTGCTTAGAGAAAGAGAAAGGAAGTGCAATAGCTTCCCATACAACCCCCTAAACCCAGCCACCTTTCTGAAGTTGTCCTCAAACTTTTTAGCTTCCTTGAAGTGCAATAGCTTCATAAACAACCCCTTAAAAATCCACCTATCTGAAGTTGTCCTCAAATTTTTTACATTTCCTGGAAGTTTATTACGACCGGCCCTCTAAACCTACCTGTCTGAAGTTGTCCTCAAACGTTTTCGTTTCCTCCAAGTGCAAAAGCTGTACAAACAACCCCCTAAACCCACCCATCTTTCTGAATGTGTCCTAAAACTCATTTGTATCGCTGAAATGCAATAGATTCACACATATCCCCTAAGCCACCAACCTATCTGAAGTTGTCTTCAAACTTCTTAATTTTAAATTTCCTTGAAGTTCAATACAACCGGCGTTCTAAACCCACCTTTCTGGAGTTTTCCTCAAACTTTTAAAATTTCCTTGAAGTTTGATTTGACTGGCCCCTCCACACCCATCTTTCTGAGGCTGCCCTCAAACTTTTAAAATTTCCTAGACGTTCAATACAACCGGCCCCTCTACATCCACCCACCCACCTTTCTGAAGTTGTCCTCAAACTCTTTGGTCTCCTTGAAGTGCATCATGGACTTGTGGTAGTTCTCCTTCTGCCACACCTTGATGCTGCCGTGCACCTCAAACATCATCTTCTCCGCCATGTTGGTGTGCAGGTCCGCCACGTGGTCCGCCTCTGTCAGCAGCCCGCGCCACGCGCCCTGTGTGGTGCCGTACTCGGGGCCTGGGGGAGGGAAAATGAAAATGTAAATTATTGGCAAATCAACTCTTTAAGCCCTGAGTTTTTTCTACTGTGTCTCGTTATAACCCCAAAAGCATGCCTCCAACTTCTAAACAGAGGAAACAAAGGCTTAGTCATTACTAAAAAAACTTGGTTCGGGAATAGTTCCGCAAAACAAGCAAAAACTAGCACTAAATAAAAAACAGTTATCACTAGTACTGGGGAGCGTCCGATGGGGAACAGGGTTCTTACCGCCGGATGCTCCCACCGTCCGATGGGGTTCAACGAGTTAAAGAAAAATGCCAGAAAAGAAAATGAAAATAGAACAGAACAGAACTAATGAGGAAAGTTAGAAAGTAAGGAAAAACAACTCCCCAAAAAAGTGCGTGTGTGTGTGTGGTGGGGGGGATAAATCTTTGGCGAGAATTAAACAGAAGTGTAGGAAAAGAAAGTGAAAACAATAAAGCACTAATGAGGAATATTATTATTAGTTAGAAAATGACAAACAAACAAAAATAAGGAGGGGGTTGGGGTGGGGGCGGCACATGGACAACAAAATTTCTCGGAAAAAAAAAAAGAAAGGAGATAAAATGTACTCTTCTCTTTACGTAAATACTCCGCATACCGCAGGTTCTAATGATAAACTATTTAACTTAACTGCAAAAAAAAAAAAGGAAATGTTAAAGACATGTCGCAAAGAGAAATAATTTCATACAAAATTATAAAGTTGTAGGAATGTAGAGGGCTCTCAGACCGTCACATGTGAGCTAACCCCCGGGGCGGTGCCATTGACTGAAGTGTCTTTTCGTCATTCCCAAAGGGGGGGAGGGACATTCCTCATTCATGCAAAGTAGAATTGTAAATGGGCTGATTTATTTTATCAATGTCAAGCTCATAACTGTGCCTGATCTACAACAGGGAACTGCTGCTTTTTCATTCCTAATCCTTACTATTGTCATTTTTCCTCTATTTCTTTTGCATGTTTGTCACACTCTTGTGACCCGCTATTTCCGGGGTGCCTCAATAGTCGAAGCAGACTTTGTGCTGTTGAATCTAGAGAGGTGAGCAGAGTAAGTCTGATTCCCTATGAGAACTTCTCTGTCGACATCCACCCCTAGGCACTCATATGACCGTACGCAGTTGCGAGGGCCGAAAATCTCTACTAAAACTAAAACTAAAAACATAGGAGCAGAGAGAAAGGCATGGCGTAGTCACAACTGATACTAGAGTAGTCGACGTGAAAAATAAAATAAAAGATGGATGAGCTCATAGAAGGGCATGATAAAAAGTATTAATACACTACCGGACTTATCATTAAATAAATTTAAAAGAAGAAACACAAAAAAAACTTATCACGAGAGAGTCAAGGAGTATGCCATAGCGTGTTCCAAATAGAGTGGGGTTTTGGGGTTGTTTTTTTTTAGATCGGAGCAGTTTTTTACGGCGCTCCCAACCTCATAATATGTTGGCATACCTTTGTCAAAAAATATTTTTAAAAACTTGATACATGAGAGGCAAGGAGTGTGCAATAGTGCATTCGCAATAGAGCAGTTGTTTTTTTTTTGTTCGGTTAATTTTTCAATGGCGATCCCAATGTCAAAATGTGTGTGGGCATACCTTTGTCAAAAAAATAAATAAAACCTGAACTCGAGAGAGGCAAGGAGTGTGAGATAGTGTGTTCTCAACAGAGTGGGGTTTTTTGGTTCCAGTTTGATAAAACTTTTTACAACACTCACAACATAATAGTGTGTGCCTGTGTGTGTGGGTGTGCCTGTGTGTGTGTGTGTGCCTGTGTGTGTGTGTGAGTGTTTGTGTGTGTGTGTGTGGTGGGTGTGGTGTACAATCATACCTTTATCAGGAAACCAAAAAAAAAAAAAAGACTTAACACACGAGAGGCAAAGAGTGTGCAATAGCGTCTTCATCATAGAGTATTTTTTCCCCAGTTAGATAAAACTTTTCA